CGTCGGGCTATCTTTACATGTATCTCCCGTTCCTTCATTTCGACACATACATAGATATCCTCCATCGGCGCAACTTTATCAAGCGCCGCATGCAACACGGGCGTGCTCGTCCTGTCCCTCCTGATGTCGCAGATCTGGATTCTCCAGAACTCAGGATGATTTGGGAGTACATCGGCTATGATCCACCACTCAACTATCGTCGTACTCTAGACCAGTTTGCATACCCATCGTTGAGGGACACCTGGGCCCGAGACGATGATCAGATGCTGTACAAGCTGACGAAGGACCGCACCCCAAACGTGATGGATCGAGATCAGTCCATGCTGCAGAGGAGACAGACGAGCGGTTCAACGGGGAGTCCTGTGCAAAAGCTGAGCCCCTCAAATACAGGCCTCTTGGAGGAGGATACCTCGAGTACAGACGACGAAGAGACCGACCTGGATGAGACCATAAAGGATGGAAAGGTCTTAATGGTTGATCAGTTATGGTTATGGGCCATTGACACAAGTGAGTCACTTCCCCCTTGTGCGAGGAAGGAAATCATGCCAACGTTTGTCTCCAGCAACATTGTCGACTTTCTTCAACCGCAGAGAGTCGAAACGAAAAGAAGGGCCTCTATTTCAGCAGTCGGACCTCAGAAATAGTGTTTATAACGAACTCAATGGAGACCTGACAGGGCGTTGCGAGAACGCGTTGGACCTAGCAGCGTTTATCGTACTCCATGCGATCACCGCTTTGCTGGATCGGGCCTCGCACCCAGACCTGGAGATCTTCAGAATCTTCGAAGAGGCTATCAGCATGCTGGCGAGTGTTCCCTGTTCCGGCTGCTTGTGTGCCCGTGGACTAACAGTTGAACAGACCGAACGCATGACTTCCTCCCTAAAGCACTTCCGCATGCAAACGTTCAAGGACGTGAGCGGCTCCGACTCGGACTCGGACAGCAACAGACCGGAGTCCATCAAGAAGCGCCACAAGCGAGAGCTAGAGGAAGCCGAACGCGAGAATCGCGAAAACACGTCGGCTCTCATGGAGCTTCGCGACATGGAGGACGAGCTCAAGTCTCTGGTGAAGCTGTTCGAGACCCAAGAGGTCGTCGTCCGGAACATGAAGTCCATCTTCGAAGGGGAGGATATCAAGCACTTGACCCGACACGGCCTGGCGTATCTCGAAGAGGCGCTGAGCAAGGTGGACGGGTACAAGAGCCAGACGGTGGAGATGCTCAAGCGTGTCGACACGACGAGGACTGATGTGAGTTCCGGTCCCAACTCGGCGGACGAACGGGTTGGTTCTTGGTTCCGAGCGACATTGACTGACAGTTACTCTCTCATGTCTAGTACGAAAAACTTCTCGAGATGGTCCAACGCAAGGCCCAAGTCGACGAAGTCCGCTGGTCCCGCCTCCAGACCGAGCTGGCATCCTCGCAAAACCTCTCCGTCATGATCTTCACCACCTTCACCGTCATTTTCCTCCCCCTGTCCTTCTTCAGCAGCCTGTTCGGCATGAACACCGTCGAGTGGGACAGACAGCTCCCGACGATCGGGTTCATCGGTGCCGTCTCGCTGCCCGCGTCTGCCTTCATCATCGCGACGGCGCTCGTTGCGGCATTCAGCAGCCGCGTGCAGGGCTTCGTCAGGACCGGGTACAAGGGCGGGGAGAAGGCGCTCCAGGCCTTGGGGTCGGCAGTCGTGAAGTTCATGCCGCGCAGGAAGCAGGAGAAGAGGCGCGTCAACAAGGCCGAGAGGGAAGAGAGAAGAACGAGGAAAATGGATCGCGGGTATGACTTCTGGCAGAATGTCAGGAGGGAGAGGGCAAGTGGGTATCGTATCCCGGAGGTAAACCGTCACAGAGCGAGGACATAACATGGCGAACTTCATCCGATGAAGGCCGGTGGCAAGCTTCGACCAGATATTATTATTGTATCATTAAATCATTAACGTAAATGACCCCTTCGTTCTACTCGCGGGGCATGAGCGAGCCCCTCGCTTTTGCTGTTGACTTGGCTATACTAGCGGACATCCCAGTTTTGGCGTTCCGACCTTCAGCAAGCAGACCCCTGAGGTAACCTTGCCACTCTTGAAAGTGCTGACAGCATTGCTCTGAGTGATGGTGAAGGTGTCGGTCTTTGTTTCCCCCGAGCTCTTGTTTCGTTTGCAGTATTGGTTCGCGCTCGGGCATTTCGCCTCTCCGAGCTGGCACTGCGGCACACAAGCGGTAACGGTATTCCCTAGATTGCCGTTGGAGCACTTGAGGCGAATACGTTGACAAACACCGCCACCCGGACAGGGCTTGCCGTCGTTGAGGTTGCACAGCGTTGATACAACCTGCTTACTGCTCTGCCCCTGCGCATCAGGCAGCCCGTCTTGATTGTATGGATCAGGGTCAACGGTGTACGTTGTCTCTGCCTCCGGTGCAGGGGCCCGGATGCCCACGGCCCTGGGGGGCGATTTTGGCGTCGTGCCGTCGCGGGGGGTGTATCCAGTCGAGCCCTCGACGCAAAGACTCTCGTCCTCGAACGCCGCACGGGCAGCGTCTCTCCAGAGAGCTGTCATGTTGTAGACGTTATCGAGGGTATAGTAGAGCCGGCAGTCTGCAGCTACGTAGCGGAACTGGAGCGGAGTCTTTGTGTCGTCTTTGCGAAGCTGGTCCCGCAAGTTGAACGCGGCGAAGTTGATGAACATGCCGCTCTCGCGGACAGCGGGCAGACGAGACGCAGCAGTTTCGTTTTTCTCGCTAGCCCAATCGAATTCCTCATCCAACATGTCGCTCGAGTATAGACGGGCGCCGCGGGTGCCGCCTACTGCTTGCATTGGGCCCGGCTTCGGCGCTCCGCCAACGACGATGGTACGGGCTTTGGCTTCGGTCGTGGCCATTTCCACGAAGAGGGCACACGCGGAAGAACAAGACCCATCGGTAAGCTATGTCTTGGGTTAGTCTCCGACCATCAAGATAGATAGCTCTGCGCTTAGGTGGACTCACAATAACTACGTTGCCAGGGCTCCAAGGTGCGGGTTCCCCAACATCGGCATTGTCGATGTATCGACTCATCTGCCAGCCATCGAAAGCCGCCTCGTGGAATGAGGGATTCGCAAGGTCGTAGCGTTCCTACACTTCCGAGTTAGTTCAATGGCCCATCTTACTGAGCATGGGAAATGGGGTTGCGAACCACTCGGGTGAAGTTATCGCCGTTGTACGTCAGCGGCCCCTCGTACTCCTCCCACGAAGAGTAGTTTCTACCCGTATCTGCGTTCAGCCGCGTGGCAATGACCCACTCGTCTGCCACCAGGCTCAACTTCTCGGCAAACTCTTCATCGGTGCCCGTCGGCAGATCCTGCCATGCTCTCGTCGACGCCGAGCCAAGGACGTTCCCCAGCTCGTGGCTGCGCCGCCGGCTCCCGGCGAAAGGCTCGATGCCCGGAAACAATGTCCGCAGAAGGAGGAAAGCAAGGCCGCTAGAGCCGCCGTAGTTCCCCGACAGGTCGATCACGAGGCGGGAGAGGCTTTTGTTTTGCGCGCCCGAAACGAACTCGTTCACGGCGTCGCTGAAGTTGCCAATGTCCGACCCGTACTGGTCGAAATGCGGGATGCTCAGAACCGCGGTCGAGATGTCTTCGTAAAAGTAGCCCGTCACGACGCCGCCGTCGCCGGCGGCATCCAACCGCGCCTGCACTACATCGGGGTTGCTGGGGAAGGCATGCTGACTGTCCTCGAAGAAGCTAGGGCTCCCATCCTCTCCATCCGGGGTGCTTTCAATGACCTCCGAGTCTTCTTGTGCATTACCAGCAAACGCTGGCGGCAGTGGCACTTCGTCATATGAGGCGGGCAGGAGGCCGAGTACAAAGTAATTGTAAAAGTCGCCGCCTGTCGTCAACGGCCCGCTGAACTCGGGGTTGTTATAGATGGCGAGCCAGGAGGTTTCTTCGTCGTCACGGCCTGGGTCTTCGTAGGTGAAGTTGAGGGAGTCGCCCGGGTAGAATGTGGCGCTGCCGGCGAAGATGTTCAGTGCCCCCTGAATGTCTTGTATGGGGCTGCCCATGATTTGATTCCAGTCTGCGTGGGGCTCGAGCATGCCCACCGAGTTAAGAGCAGCAAAACGTGTCAAGAACTCGACTGTCGGCTCGCCGTTGATGTGGGAGATGGCTGAAATCTCGGTACCGTTGTCTCGATGATCGATGACATCGCCTGGTGTGACCATGTCAGTGTCTTGTTTGTCCGCTTGGGTGACGGAAATCTTACTCTCGAAATAGACCTTGGGGGTCTCCTTGCCATCGGTTGATGCTGTGACCAGAGAAAATGGACTGGCGAAGGAGAATGCCGAGAGAATGCCAGAGGAAAGGTCGACATGCGCATCATGCACCGAGTAAACCAGGTACTGCAGGGCAGCCTCGAAATCGTACTGGTTTTTGTAGACGCCAGATGTGACGTTTTGCTTGAGGTTGCTCAGCCCCTCGACAAGGTCGAATGCCGGCTGCTGATATCCCTGCGGAGGATTCTTGAGATATGCCAACGTGCTCTGGAACTGCATCGTGGTGTTGTAGTATTCGATGAATCGGAGGGCGACGGCGTCGTTGAAGGGCACGCTCTTCAAGCAAAGATAGGCGTCGGACGCGTAGAAGATACGATATCCTGTCAAACGCATTGCAATCAGCATGCAAAGTCACAATAGTTCTCGGTCATTCAGCTCACCCTCGTTAACAGCCTCAATGATTTCGCCACAAATGTTTTCCGGACGCGCAGACCCCTCTGACCCATCTTGCCGGCGTGACATGGGCTTCGCACTTCGAGATGGCCGAGCCAGAGCTCCTCCAAGCCACACACACAGCAACAGGGCGGAGTAACCGAGCAACATCGTGTAAGTTTCGAGCAAAAACGAAGGGTAAAGCAACAACGCACAATGACCTTGGAGGCTGCTCTGAGGTCTTCGCCGAGTGGCGAGGCTGGCCTTTTACATCTTAAGCAACACGTCTTCCACTCCACAGCGACTAAGAGAATAAGCAACGACAGGCAGATGCGGTTAATACGGCTTCCAGGATAAGATTAGATTCAGCCTCACTCCCTTGGCAGGCAAGTAATGGCACTAGGCCCATGTTGAGAAGCCTGATGACCAGGATTTCGGGTCCAAATTTTAGGCTGCAGGAATATCGATGTGACCCCAGTTCCCGCATAAGAAGGCCTTGAACTGCACGAATTCATTACTCTCTCGTGAGGCCCCCTTTTTTCCTTGCCGGTCTGGGATACAACATCACTATCTGAGGCAACTCGCTTGAGCCTCTGGTTTCCAGTCTTTCCAGATCTCTTGGAAAAGTTGTCTCTCGTGTGATCGTTTGAATATGCTGTATGAGCCATCCAATACGCAGCGCATTCCAGAGGACAGGGTACATTGATTCCATGGCTTCGGGCCGTTGCCACACTTTGCAAGGACCTGCTTCTAGGGCTGGGAAGCTTATCATGTGGCCACAACATGCCATGTCTAACGACTAGGTACGAGGGCCAGGGCCCAAGACTGAAGGATGCGCGCTTGAGCTGCATGTCAGCACTCTAGCTTACTGTGGCGTTGATTTAGGCGGATGATCGAGGCGATTGATAGGTGAGCAGCCCCTGCAACTGCATGATTCACTCGATGAAAAGCCGCTAAACACTCTGGCAATGTTACTTGGTGTGTCAGTACAAGGCGACCCCTCACAGGATCGCACAGTCTGGCAATATTACGAGGCTCCCGAAAAGGTGAGTTATTTAAAATAGTTCATGCAGCCTTCGTTAGGCAGACGTGAAAGGCCTGCACCGCTGTCCTGCGCCTATGGCGCTAATGAGACCAGGGTGGTGTCAGCTACGACGATAAGTGTAAGGCTCCTCGAGGCCGTTAGGATTGGGTCCAAAGTGGTTGGTGGTATTAGGTATCGTTGCGGCTCATGCCAACCTGAGGTCATCATCAACCGTTTGTTCGATAATCCTGAGCCCGGAAGCGCGCCGTCTGGGTTGAGACTTGAGCCTCTGCGTTGCGTCAGGGCCAAGGTACAGCAGCCGCTGCGTCATCTCGGCTAGCCTTTCTGTTCTCCCGAGCACCTCAAAACATGGACGATGCCAAGGGAGAGGGAGCACGCGTACCCCTGAGAGAGTTATTCAAGAAGCGTTCTGACATGCACTCGGCACTGAGCGAACAGCACGAGCCAGGAGCGGACATTTGGCACCCATTATGGGACTGGGTGCTTGCGAACGACATCTTCCGGAGCTGGCAGCGGAACGACTACACATGGACGCTGCGCTGTGTTGGGGGACCAGGGTCAGGGAAGGTAATTACGCAACTGTTTTCCCCTTCGTCCACCATGTTTGCATGGTGTTGCAGGTGTTTGTATGCTAGTCATACGTAGGCCCTCAAGATCGTCCCATGGGGTTTCGGATGCCAAGACACTGGTTGGCGATGCATCATGCCGGTGAGAGTCATGCACTGATTCGAGATATTTCAGACGACCTTGTCCGCGATGGTAGCCGAATGGCTGAGAAGCCAATACACCGGGAACAAGGACGCCGTGGCCGCGGTATTCGTGCGGGAGCACGTGGTCGCGGCCGGTACCGCATTCGTGGAAGACGTCCTGACGAGTGTGTTCCACCAGCTGTGCATCCGGGGTGCCGAGGAAGACGAGGACGAAGCGCATGTCGCAAAGTATCGACTTTACCTCGACGCTAGGAAGCACGGCCATCGCGACATGTTCCGGATCCAACTCATTCGAGACGCGCTGCTGTCGCGTCTGAGCATGCTCGATCGTGCATTCCTTGTCATTGACGACTTTGACAGGTGCAGTCCGGCAGTCGACTTGTTCCTCGAGAACGAGTTGGCCCTCTTGGCGAGGGGGTCGCAGCTCAAGGTCCTCATCACCTCTCGCGTCTCGTGCCTCAAGACGATGCCGACTTGGCAGTACTGTGACTCGTGCGACGACGAGGAGGTCGCCATGTATCTCTCGGTGTACTGGAGATGCGAGAGCTGCAAGAAGAAAGCAAAGCCGGCTCACATCCTCTGCCAGCGCTGCAGAGACGCGGGCGGGACCTGCATCAACTGGTATGTAAGCGGCAAAGCCAACCAGTCTCTCTCTCTTTTACACGCTTCAATTCTCGCGATTATCCGTTGTAAATCAAAATTTATTTTGTGCGCCTCGTGTCTAGTATTACCTATCAGTCGGGGCTCGAGTCAACAAAGACTAACATGCAAGCCGAATACGAAGCGGAGACGCCGCAGACTTCGTCCAACCTTTCGATCACGTCGAGCTCGAGGTCGATTCAGCTACGCAGCCTGTTGCACGCTTCATCGACTGGGATTTGGAGATGGAGCACGGAGAATTGGGTTTGGGCAGTGAAAACCCCGACAAACCCCCGCCATCCGCGCTTGGCAGACGGCTTCTCGACCCCCGAAACCAAGAGGCCCTCGACAGGTTGCGGGATCGAGTCAGGAGCCAGGCAGAGGGGAACATCAGTCTCGCCCGTCTCCGACTCGACAACGTGCACCAAACTCAATCAATGGGTGCCCTCTTCGCCAGGTCTGATGTGCTGCCGGCCAACATTGTAGACTTCTTCGACGTCGGCATCGGGCGCATCGAGGAGCAGCCGCCGTCCCAGCGAGACCTCGGCCTGAAGGTGATTGCCGCCGTCGCGCATTATGACTATGCTCTAGGCATTGAGTACGAGCATCTCCAAGTCATCGTACGTCGGTCTACCAAGACGCCCGCCCGGGCCCATGCCAAGAGAACCACGTCAACGCCGACGGTATCAACGAGGAGGAGAAGGCCAACAATGCCGGCGTCGGAAACATCACACGTGGCTCACCGCAGCCTCGAGGAGATGCTGCATGCGGCGCGCGGGTTCCTGGTGTTCAGGAACGAGGAGAACCGGCCGCTTGTAGCCTTCTGCGAGTCTTTCCACACCTACGCGCGGGAGCACTACAACGAGTCGCTTGTCTGGGCGCACGCGCAGCTCGACTTTGGGGGCGAGAAGGGCTGTGCCGCGTCCGGCAACAGGGTGATGAGGCGGTCGCGGACGGGCGTCGTGCATGGTGTGGAGAAGAGGGACCAAGCGGCAGCGCAAAGATCTTTCCTGCAGGAACACAAAGGCCGTATAGCCGGAGGCGACTGCAGGAATCGCACCGATGGGAGGATCGGGGAGAGCATCGCTGCTTCGAGTGGACGCATTGTTCCCGATACGGTGGCTGCTGGCTCTGCCTCTGCTCTCCAGACTCAGGACGATGGCGCGGCAGCGCATAGGCAGACCCCGATATCGTCCATACCGGCAATGGCTGGTGCTTCTGCCGGTGCTAATAGTGGGCGGAAACCAGTCCGGATCGCCGACTTTGAACGTGATCTAAGCTTCAAGTTGCAGAGGAGAGGCACAAGCTGGGCCTAGTGTGGATTCTATGCGGAGAAGCGGGTCGACTCTATACGGGAAACTGGAAACTTGCAAGGATGCTCGCGACGTTGAAATGTTTCTTGATTCGGGCCTGAAAAGGAGAAAGAAACATTCCCTTCGAGACAACACGTTTGGCTCTTGGAGACATACACATACATCTCCAGGGGGGTTAGCCGTTAAAGACAGCGCCTGGAAATAAGCTTGAGCATGTGTCAGGTTCAGTTGGACGGAACCCAACGACGCATGCCGACGGCCCGAATGGCTGGCAGACAGACGGATCTTGGTTGCATTCTTGACCTGACAAAACGTTTTGGCGCTCTTGTAGGCCCTGGTGTCTGTCTCCCTGCCGTTGCTTCAACGTCCTGGTAGATGGTCCGGGGAACCCGGAGCACCATTCTGTCCGTTCCAGAGATCGTCATCTAGCCCAACCCCTGCAACGTGGCAGTTTGAGCAAGTGGTGCCCTTTTCTTCCGAAACCAGCCCTACCTGTGGGCAGCTCTGTCGGCCCAGGACCATTCCGTAGGACGCTTGGGTGCACATAATCTGATGTGCCTGTGTCCTGTTGTCATTGTGCCTCTATGCAGTTAGTGTGTATGTGTGTGTGTATGTGTGTGTGTGTGTGTGTTGGTGTGTGTATGTTTAAGCGTATGCGTTTTTTTCCCACCCTCCGCCCCCTTCCCCCGAGAAAGTCGTGAGTCCACGTGCGCCAAAGGAGAAACCGGTTTCAAGAGGGCGTATCGAAACCACGCTTCGAGAGTATAATACTCCGTCCCGGCCACCCCTCCGTACTATGTTTCCTCTAGATATTGCTGTGCCACGTCGAGCTCCCCAAGTTGCATCTTTTCCTTGTACCTACTTCACTTCGGTTGTGTAAATTGAACTAGATTATTCGGCACCGTATATCACATCACAACGCTCGCCCATTCACAGGAGGAGACATGCAACTCACAGATACTTTGACGGCCGCCGTGGCGCTGCTTGCAGGCCTTTCGGCAGCGGCACCACTCGAGCGTCGAGCCTATTCCGCCCTTCTCCCAACCAGCCCGGAGGATATCAGGAAGGTCCAGTTAGTCGCCCGTGGTTCTCTACCAAACTCGGCGCCGCCGGCAAAGCTGGAGCAGAGCAGTTTGACAGCGTTTCAACTCATTCAGTTCAACGAGCAATTTGAGGTCGCCTTTTTCTCCTCCATGCTTGAAAACGTCACTAATGGAGGAAATGGTTGGAACGCTCCGAACAAGGAAAAGCTGGTAGAAGCGCTCAAAGTCGTGGTTGCTGTGAGTGATCTTTACTGCACATCTTATTGGGTGTCCGCATCGATGCTGACTGCTGCCGTAGCAAGAAAAGCTCCATGCGCTCGACGCCAAAGGCGTCCTCGATCACTTCAAGGCCTTCTCGCCCCCGCCCTGCCAGTACCAGTTCCCGACGGACAGCTTGAAGGACGCCGTCGCGCTTGCCGAAACCTTCACATCCGTCGTCCTGGGCACCCTTCAGGATGCCAACCAGCTGCTAGCAAAGAACGGGGACGCTGGTCCCGTCCGGGCCGTGAGCGCAGTCATCGGCCAGGAAGGCGAGCAGAACGGCTTCTACCGCAGCTATTTGTCACGCCCACCGTCGTCACAGCCGTTCCTCACGACTTCGATCGCTCCATTCGCCTACTCCGCGCTGCAAGCCTTTGTCGTCAAGGACTCGTGTCCGTTCAAGCTGACAGACATCGACATTCCCATCTTCGCCCCGTTGGTGGTCAAGCAGATGGAGGATGCTGGGGAGGTCCGGGCCATGAACCAGAGACTCGGCTTTTCGGTCGACCTGAGGCAGCTCATCACGGCCGGCAGATTCCTGGGAAAGGACAACGCACCCCTTTTCGTCACATATCTGAGCGGACTCAACGTGCCACTCAGCGTTCCCATTCAAAACGCGCAGTGGGAAGGGTCTAAAATCACGTTCAATGCCGATTTCCCCTTTGAGCAGAACAGCATGTTCGGCCTGTCGATTGCGGCTCTTACTTATGAGAGTAACTACGCCAGCGCTGGTGACGTTGCGAAATCAACGTTGGCAGGCCCTGGGTTGATTCAAGTCAACTGAGGTGAGATGGACCTGACGGGGTGGAACGGTGGCATGTGGGCAAGCGTAATTGTAGAAGACTTGGAAGATATCCCGGGACGGGGCGTTTTGGTGTTTCATGCATAGACCAACTTCGACTTTCCAGTGTCGATAATTCATTTTGATTCATTGTACACTCTCCATCCTTCTGTCTGAATGTTGACCTCGGTGTAAGCCTCATGTGAGCCGTGTTACTGCCGAGCAGAATGTGGCAGAGGCCTCGTCCCGAGTAGAAAGATGGAGGGAATTCGGCTTCTCCTTGTAAGTTGATTGCAACTGCTTCACGAACCCCATCCAGATACTCCTGGTACACGACCTGCAACCCTCAATTCTAAGCCAAGGTGGACCAGGACCAGGTTGGAGCAAGTAATTTTCCGACTCGGCCCCCATTAAATGTTAGTATCAACCCATTCTATGATGAGTTCTCGAAAACGGAGCAGCTGGAAACCCCACCTGCTGGTCTATGATGTCGCTGTGAGGTGTGCAGGAACACCAGACGATATGCCTCGTAGCTTCAGCACCGCCACTCGATCGATTCTCAGCCTAAATAGGAAATCAGCCGCGATTTTCATGGGACTCGCCTATTGGCGCCCAAGATCAGCAAAGTTACTCTTTACGTCTCAAGGTTCACTTCCATGCCGCTGTTCCATGGTGCATGCACGCCAACATTCAATCTACCGGTACTCGAATATGATCAGCTATATGATCAGCGATATGCATGTGGCCTAGGCCAACCCAAAACTGCGAAGAATTTCAAAAGGTCCCCCGAACCTGCGAGTAAAACTCCAGCCCCGCAACAGCATCGAGAGACTGGTGCAAATGTGAGAAGGGGAGGTGATTCCCGTCTTACAGTTTCCGCCTCGTCAGAAAACATGGCCTCGGCGCACAGAGGTCCCCTGTCACACAAGCTGTCTCAGAACGTGGTATTGGCACATCGGATTGAACAGTTCCAATTGACAGTTCGGACGCCGACTTCAGTGCGTCAGGAAGAGTCGCGCAAAGAGATGGCCTGGCGAGTCCTGCCAACAAGCCTAGCTAGCACAGGGGGAGGCCGGCAGCCATCGTTACCGAGCGAAAACGAACAGGAATCTCCCCGGAAGCGTGATCGGCAGCTGAAAACCTTGGTTTGACAATCGTTTTGATGAGGGCAGTTTGAGATCTAAACGTTATCCGTCAGGAGATTGCGGCGTTTTGTTCCTTTCTGCCAATCTCAGTTGGCTTATAGGCAGAATGCGGGGTGAAGTTTGGTGGGAATGGCCCAGCATAGCCTCAGTGAGCAGCCGTGAAGAGTTTTCGGGTTGATCTCAGATCATGGCAAGCTCCGTGTCCCATGTACTTGCCGACTATGTGGAAGCAAATGTCTTCCTCCAATGAGGAATATGCCGATATCTCATCCGGAAACACAAGGTTCACGTCAAATAGGTCCAGGCGGTCTCTCAAGTAAGCGCCATGGGTACAATGATTCATAGCCATGCCCAGGGTCGAATAACTTTACCTGGTATGAAAGTTGACCTAGGTAGGTTTCCGGCACAGTAGAAGACTTGGCAATAAGCTTATCAAGAAGCCGAGAAACTCAATGGCTTTCTTCAAGGTTGAGACCTCGTAGTCCGACGGTTGTTTCAAGGGGTTAGCAGGAGAGCCGGGCCAACAGTTGGTTTGTTTTTGCGTTTTGCTGTTCAAGTGATCCCAGGCTGGTCAGGAACAATGAGCCACAGAGTACGGTTGGGTACATTTGGTCTCGATGAGGGTAAAAGTGAACACAACAGCGCGGCCTAACTCTGTTTCAGCTTTCCTCCGGTAATTCTTTGATGACCAGCAAGCTTTCGGCTTTACCTTTTCTTTTCGCGGGCGATGGAAACGCGTACATGTAACAGTAGTCCGAAGCGGTCATCGAGCCAGACCCTACAACCTGATGGATGTAGGTCATCACTTCGCCAATCGACGTTTGATACTACTCTGTTCAATCCTCGTAATCTACATATCAGGACTGGGAAATAACAGCAGCCGGATATCGCTTTCGAGTAGCCTTCTGATAGTTACCCTCGCTGTCAGCCTTGGCTTTGGATCAGCAAAGATCGCGCTCGTAATGTGTCAAAGTACTTTTTATAGCGTAAGTAATGTAACCATTGATTCTTATATGAAATGCTATCAGGCATATTGTCAGCTTACTATCTTTTACTTTGACCTTTTTTTTTGTTCTCTTCTTCGGAAAGTAAATATGTACCTATTTTGACTTTCGGATATTCTTCTCAAATATTAATTAAATAGTGGTACTTTGGTTTATTTTCAGTGTATTGCGTATAGGTGGCCTTCCCGACCGAGTAGTACCTAGACACCTGCTGGCAAGGGTGAAGTCTCCAGACTCCCGAGCTCCGAAGTTAGCGGAATGGACTCACTTGGTGACGCTGACAGTCAGTTATTTCACGCCTCATTGACCATGCCTTACTATCCCTTCTCGAAGGATAGCGCTTTAGTTTGCCAAATGGTATTCTCAAGGTTAAATGACTAATGTCTAATAGTCAAACATCAACGGCCTGCACCAGGACGATGCGTTATTTTCCCGTTATAAATATCTCCGCCACTCTGGTAAACGTCGACCAGCTAGTGGCCGCTGCATCTTACACATCGTTCCAAAGCCTCAAAGTCTCAAGATTGATGGTCAAATCAATTACACTTTCGATGACAAATTATTAGACCATGGTCTGGTATAGAAAGTTACAGTTCGAGGAAGACTACATTCCAGCCCGAACGAACGGTACGAGGTAATCCATACAAAGACACTCAATGTTTCACCTCTCTTTTCTGTTTCGTGTCTTGCAGTATTGGATCTGCTATGTTGAAAGGTTCGTGATTGTCCCGCAGCAGCCCATCGTTATTCTGATCAGTCAGGTCACGTTTCAAGATAACGAAAGCAGAACCCTGGTAGCTTTTGCAATTCATCGGAACCATTCATTCGAAACGTCACACACATCCAGATTAAAATGCAGTCCTCGGACTGACAGTTCAGATCTTTTCAACTCATTTTGACTACCAACGGAGGGTATCGGCTCAGCCACGGATAGAAGAGCAGACCTCTGTTGGGTGTGTGTAGCCGGTATTAAATTAGCATTCGGGTAAAGTAATACACATGCTTCCGAAGCCAGCGTGGTATGTGTCATCCTCGACCCGTTCAATACATTATACATTCAGTTAGTCCTCTAGTCTGGAGCAAAGTGTATGCTACCTTGGACCTCCATATTCCATGCCTATTTTGAGTGTTTTGACATTCATGTTGATCATAACTAACGTAAGAGGACATCAAAGGCCCCTCGCGGGGCAGTCATTACATAGAAGTTAATGTCGAGAGCGGTTTTTCTCAACCACTTCTCTCGTCATACACCACGCCAGACAACTGTCGATTGTTCTGTTAGTACATCGAACTTCTTTAGGCGAGGATTGTTCTCGTATTCCTCAAGCAGAGGAGACAAGAATGATAGAGCGTACCAAGAACGGGCCTAGATACGGGAGGGGAACACCCGCATAGATGCCCCAGTATGGGGGAGTACCCCATCCTTTTTGGCTCGGGCAATTCTTGAACTGTGGTGGACTGCGGTGCAGCCACATCATCTCATACGGGTTGTAATCGAAGTCAAACTCGCAAACCGGTAGATTAGACTATGTGTATGCCGTGTTAGTTGCGCGGTTTCCGCGAAGCTGGTGAGCCACAGAGTCGACAACAACACTTACAACGCAGCTCAGAGAAAGGTTGTTTACGTCAAAAGCTTCGGAGCCATTTTTCCCTTGGCATGACTGCGCGTCAATGTAGAGTTCACTCGGGGTAGTCCAGTTCTTCTTGAAGGCCACGTCAAGAATGTCTTTCATACGATCCATGCCGATGTCTTTGTCATACGGTCAGCCTAATTATCAATGGCCTGGATGCACGGTACATATCATACCGTTGGCTCTGGCAAGCCCATACGAGTCTTTTCCGTCGTACCAAACCGGCCCACAAGTGCCGTATTCGTCAAGTTTGGAACAGTCATATTGATCGATGGGAATCTTCCGCGGGTCAACGCCGGGGCTGCAGTCTTGTTAGCTAGTGACAATGGGTTTAGAGGCGGCTCGAACCAACTTCTTCACGGCGAAGTAATCGTCTTGTGCAAGCGCTTGGTTGAGGGTCCACTTCAAAAGGTTATGGTACATGAAGTCCGTGTTCTTTGGGAGGTTGTTGCTGAGTTGCTGGCAACCAGTCGTTAGTATCATCGCGTTGAATCAATGCCGTGGACTTTAATCATTATCCACTCACCTGGCTAAACGCGCCGTTTGAAGTGAGCTCGTAGAATAAGGTGAAGTCTGTTTGTATCTTTGTCAATGCCTCGCCAACTCGCTTCTGGTATTCATTAACGTTGTCTGACAAGGCAGCAGAAAGTTGCTCCCAAGAGACTTGGTACACCATGGTGACTGGAAACAAGGCATTGTAAACACCAGCCGTGTTGCCAAGAGTGCCCGTCAGAGACGCAAACATTATGCTTGCTCCGATAGAGCTACCGAGAAGAGGACCTAAAGCCTGTCATGCCCACGTGCGTCAGAGTCTCAACCATCGAGTTCTGTATGCTCCGGTCCGTACTCACCGCAAACTGGGCTAGCGTAGAACCAAAGATGGGAGCAAAGAGTGGAGTTTTCGGGTTCTCCTTCGTCGGCGGTGCGACAACTTTGACAATTTCGGCAACCGCTCCGCTGTTTAGATACATTAGATGATGTGTAGAACACTTAAGGAGTTACATACATGGCTGATGCCTGGCCCTGTAGAAGAGCTTGGTGGTAGTTGGTGAAAAAGAGGTTGATGGCTTGAGCGCCAGAAAGATCAGCGACGTGCCCAAAAAACGGGGCATATTAGAATTGCCTAACCGTAAATATTCCAAATAACCTTTAGAAAAATAAGTGGTTAGTAGCTACTGAGGACAAGTGATCCGCGAGTCCTGCTTACGTAGAATTCTTGATAAGAAGCGTACTCATCCGCACGTCCGCTGGGGGGCGGAGTGCACCCGTTGAGAGAAACGAAGTCGCAATTCCATGTGATTAGCCCCTGTGTCCAGGTAGGTTAGTTAGAGAAACTGGTAGTACTGCTGGGAAGTTGCATACCGCCGTATCCAGATAGCATCGGGCGAAGCCCTTATTTTTCGAATTGCACCTCGCGGAATTTGCGGACCACCAATCCTAAACCGGTTTGTTACGGAGAGGTGCTTTAGAGGATGAGATAAGTCCGTACGTACGTTGAGATGCTTGTTCATCTCGAGAGTCTCCCAGCAGCCCGGCTGGATCCTGTTGGTCGCACATCGAGTTAGCAGGCCGTCGTTCGAGAGAGATGGAGGGCGCTGCCGTACCCATCCTGAGAGAACGGAGAGCATTGTTCGTAGGTGGTGTTTGCGTTTCGTGCCTCCAAAGCCTCGCCCGCTCGACGGGATTCTAAGACCACTGGCGACGCTCCGACCGCCGAAGCAAAAAGTGTGACAAGGCTCAGGAGGAGCATCGTGACCGCACAAACGATATTAGCTGCATACCAAACGCGCGAAAGACATTCCGGACAACTAGCTTGCAAATCATCGGCGGCGAAAGCAGAAAGAATCTAGAATATAGCTACGTATGGGGAATCGCGCGAGCCACATCTTGCCAGTTGCCAATGGTCCCAACGAGGAGGATGTTCGCATGACACGAGTCTGTAGGCAAGGCCACCATTGTGGGGGGCACCGGGGTCTCCGCAGACTACGGCCGTCGTGACCCAGTTTTCAGGGACAAGGTCTTGACGCAACGTCGTTCTGCAAGTTTGATCCTTGTTCAGCGTCTAAGTTGACAGAAAGCATGAATCAGTGCTGGGGGCGGCGGGTGGGGATCGGCAAAGGATTTCCAAAGTTGGGAATGACAGTGTGCTTAGGGCAAGTTATATACCAAATGAGCCTGGAAATGACATTAGAGGCCTCGCGTGACCATGGTAGGCGCCGTCCGATTGGGTCGATTCCTGTTTCTTTTACGTTCTCTTATGACCCTGGTTTTGCTTTATCAGAAGGGTTCTAAGTTAAGCTCACTCTCTTAGCCCTCGTGGAGGTCTCATCTCCTCGGAGCGGCTCGTCCAGTCCTTGCTTCGTGCAAATACCAATCCAGCCGGTACGTATGTATGTTGCAAACTGCAGCATATTATACGAATGATCACTCCTTACCACACCAAACATCACCACTGGACCTTCCGAAGAGTTTGTTGCCCGGTTCAACCATCACACCATGCGATCGGCACTTTTCATTCGTATTTTCACATGTTCGGCCTTCATCGCCTCTGCGGTAGCTGAAAGCTGTTGCTGGGGCGTCATGTGGGCTGATAGCTGGCTTGATCTCAAATGGGACGAACCCGCGGGAGTCGTGAGATGCGGACTCAGCGGCACATTTCCACCAGGCACAAACTGCACCGTCGAAAACTCGAAAGATGCAAACGGCAACATCCAAGCCGTCACAAACCTCACTTTCGGCAGTAACACCCAGCCATTCCAGTTCCGCATCGGCATCGACCCCTCGAGCTGCGATCCTTTACCCAATGACAAAGTTGTGACTGGCTGGGAGGGATGGGGAGCGTACCTGTTCAAAGACTTCCTGATCATGTCCCAGAAAATGGAGTTCTGCAATCGGGATATTCCTGCTTAGCCTCAGAAGGCGGGCGCCTACTGGTAGGGGCTTCTTCGTATGTTATTCAAGCTGTGTCCTAACAATGTGCAGGGTAATATGTCGTCTCCAATCTATGAGCCAGCAGAATAGCAAAAATGATGCAAGATTGATGGAGAAGAGTAAGGGATTGTCATCTGGGTAGTTAGTCGATTTCAGCGCCATGCAGACATATGCACACACAAACAAAACAAAAAGTCTTGATATTACTCAGTCTACGCATTTTTCGTTGGTATTTCGCACATCCTTATCAAGCGGCATCCACAAGCTATGTGTGCACTCTTGTATAACGGATCAAGACATACTTGAAGTGTATCCGTATGTCAAAAATCATGTCGGAACCCCGGGGAGGGGGGTGACGCCGGCAATGGCGTCGGCAATGGCGCCGGCAGTGGCGCCGGCAGTGGCGCCGGCCGGTTCTGGTCAACTTATAGCTACGGGGCACAAAAGAGTCCTCGCCAAGGTTCCATAGGGAAAGACGGAAGGCAGATTGAAACAATAGCCACTGACCCTACGTCGACTCAGTTGCTCTGTATAATCGCGCAGCCTCTGGCAAGCCCAGCCGACTTGCCTACCTAGAGCGGGTCAATAGACCTTGGGCTTTCCTACGGTATCTATTTCCATTCGTTTGCTTGATCAACTCCCTGGCATGCTGTCAACCACTCCACGTGCCCACGTCACCGGGGAACCATGTCCCCATGTCCAGTCTTTCTCACTTCCCTGAGAGATTTATGGCAGGCTGTTACGTAAAGTCTTCCAAGACTAGCCGTGCGCAACAGCGCTGCCACGTTGGCTGATGATGCTTGGTATTGACGAAGCGAACGTGAGGGGCCAAAACGTTTACACATCGAGACAAACTGCGGAGTAGGCCAGACCCTCGGGCCTCTAAACAAACAGGTTGGGTGGTCGTGCCGGGTCTTGTGACTCGGCAGCTGTAATTTGTCCCAACATATTCGTAACTCTCTTAATGACAATGACAGCCACTAATTAACGATCCCCAGTTTCTGACCGCTCCAGACGAACGAGAAGCAGCCGCGTTGACTCGCGCGGTTCCAGCTTTGCCGGCGGCCTGGTCCAGCCACCCTTCCCCTCGGTTCTCTCTCGAATGAGAGCTGGCCAACTTGGACGGAAGTATCCGCTGCACCCCGCGGTCATCCATTCTGGTAGTATCATAAGGCCAGGGTGGATATTAATATTGGATGGCATGGGGAATCTCCAGAGAAATTTTCAAGGCGCAGCAGCCATCACCCCTGCAGTTGCGTGCTTTGCGTTTTGTCAACGTGATCACTATCCCACGTCAAGGGATCCCCCATTCCTGAACCCCGCGTTTAACCCCATTCCAAGTGCAATTAAACTCGGCTAAGGCCCGGGCAGGGTTCGAACATGCAGACGTAAAGGACAAAAGGAGTCCCCTTTCTCCAGGAGTCCAAGCTTCCAACTTGACGCCCCGGAGCTTCTTCACTCTCGTCCTTCAAGCATCTCTTCCAACGTCACATTTGGTCCCATCGTCGATCAGATGATGCTCAACTTTCTGTGTCTCTGCCTTTCGTGGGCACTGCTTTTCTTTCCGGTGTAGGCATAACGTCCACCTATCCGTCGATGAAGTTTCGCGTCTAACAGGAACAGGGCGTCTGCGAATGTGCACGGGAAGTGCTACTGTAAACTGAACAACGTCTCGAACAAGTGCCTCACAGCAAAGGCATGCGACATCTACCGGACACAAAAACCAATATTTGAAGGGGATCCGGCAAAGGTCAACATCACAGTGCTGTATGGGCATGTAAGCAAGCCCCTCGCTTCCATATGTCGGATTGCTTTTTTTCTTTTTTCTTTCTCGGAATCCCATGCTCACACCAAGATGCAGGTTTGTGCGGCAATCGCGCCGGATGAGAATGGCCGTGCGAGGTATATAGGTGCGCTTGGTGGCAATGAGTTCGAGCAAGCTTGTTTTGAAGCTCAGAGCTCAGGTGCTTGCGCAGATAGTGGCGGGAGTGTACAATCAATTTGCCAATGAATCCGGGACCCTTTTCGCTCAAAGTGGTGATATGTTGACAAAGCCATGCCGTAACATCATAACATTGCTCGACAGGATGGAATGATACACCGTGAATTCCTGAGTCGTGACAATTGGAATGATCCTCCAGTTGAACAGAACAGGACAGAACACCAATCGACGACTATGGCAGCGAGAGAAGATGAGTCCTTTCATTCACGATAACCACCACCAGTTGCTTTGCGCCAGTTAACCCAGCTAGCATGTACGACGATGTGCCTGCGAGAAAAACACCTTACGCCTCACTGTCGTGAAGCTGGGATAGCGTTGTGTGGCCAGAACCAGCTGTAAACGCCAGGTGCGGCTTGCCAGACGACCAGACCACTTCGTATGGTATTTCTACTCGGCATCGTCTTGTTCAATTGTTCTAGATAGTACAACTAATTCTACACTCTCCTTAACAGACGCTGCGGCTCATCACACCCATCCATCTATACGCAAATTATATTTTCGATGAAATAGTCAATGCTCAGCGATGTGGGATGATCCGTCCGGCGCTGGATCAGAGTTTGTTTCTTCCGATGATAATCATGATAATAATAGTATGAATCTCTCGGCCCGTCGTCTTCCATCTTGGCCATAGAATAACCCGAGTCTTTGAGACGAACTACTGGAGGGATAAGGTTATTATGCTGCGGGGTCAGAGGCGGCAAGAGTCGCAGAAAAGCCAAGTTTTCCCGCGTTTCCAAGGATATTCTAGAAAAAGAGCTTTGATTCCGTCAGATAGGGCATAGGATATTCTAACACTGTGATTTCCCCCTTGAACTTTGGAGAAATTCTGAGGAGACACTAATGTCTATTACGACGCAGCATGTCCTCGAATATCTGCGAAAGTCTTACCTGACAGGATATTAACCCGCTTCTCACGGCAAGATTCCTCGGCAGGGGTCATTACTATTATAAGACCGAGGAGTACGAAAGCTATAATTAGCCACATTAATTAATCACTCGCACACCATCACATGCATATGCTCAAAGAAACAGGATTCATTCCGATTGTTATTCTATTCTTGAATTGTAGACATCTGGCATGTACGCAAACCACACCCCTCCACTTTTACCGTCCTGGCATCTTGATCCAAGAGTACGGAAACCAAGATTCTTGGAGTAATCAGCTACTACTTGTCTTTTGCGAGCATGACTTATCAACTAGGCCTGGTATACGAGGACGCCTTGGAGAGTATTTATCCATCCCGGCCTATTCCACCGGCTTCTACCGTTGCTGCTGCTGCTGCTGCTGCTGCTGCGCGTCAGTGTCCGCGCATCTGCGGTCCAGCAGCACAATGGCGTGGCAATCTTCGAACTGGCCTCAGCTGCGGGCGCGTCAGTGACGAAGGCGAGCGAAGTGGATTCCGTCCGCCTTGGAGGTTAAGCAGTCGCCGTTGCCGTACGGTACAGCCTGCATTCTGCCCTGGCCGCGATAGAAAGAGCCAGATGTCGGAACATACATGAAGATGCCGCCTCGTCCAGCAAAGGCACCGACAACGTGCGCGAATGGGCAGCATCCGCGGTCGACGCAGGAAGATAGAACCATGTGCCGTTGGAACCCCAAGGATAACTCTGTCGTTTGCGGAATCGAACCGTATTGGCTGTGAGCCAGAGAACTTGATCGGAATCCTCCAGGAGTCCACTCGCTTCCAGGAAAGGTCAGATCTATGGCGACCCGGGAGCTCTTGTTGGCCACGCACGGCGGCACAGGCCTCGGGGTATATCGTATCAGGTAGACCCCCAAGCATCACCGGGACCCCGAGCAGTCGGCCGATGCCCTCTTCAGAGCACATCAACTGCCGTTGCGTCCCAGATCGCTGCTGGAACAATCGGGGGTTTGTCGCACAGAAGGCGGGCGTACTCCTTGAGCGAAGGGGAAGCTGACCCCTTTGACGGCCTCCCCCTAAATCCGACTCCGCACTACAAGGCGTGCTTCTAGCTTCCATTAGAGTCAATGATCCCACCGGTCGGTCTCAATCTCGGGATCGCATACACTACATGTGGCAAAGGTCGGCTGTCGCTTACGTTGCGACGGCTTTTCCAACATCGGCGGCACGGGCATAAATACTCTCATGAAGTCACCTCATCTTTTTGTCACAGTAGACGCCCCTGGCATTGTTCCATTTGCAGACGCTGCGGCTCAAATCGAGGCCGGAATGCATGTTGCTATTGTATGAAGAATACTACTCTCATCATAAGCTCCTTCAAGCCCTCTTCCATTTTCCTTCTTTCTGCCAAAAAGAGTGTTCGGGACCAAAAAAAGGATGTTCGGGGCCACCAGCCCTTATCTTCCACCACGGCTTTACCGCCGAGATAGTCCGTCTAACCCCTTACGCGATCCTCGAAAGCTGACCAGTTGCAATCTCGCGCTGACGAACATCCCGGGACCCAAGCCGCGCACGCACTCGGGTCTCGTTTAGGCAGCGTAGCAAGTCCTTGTCTTCCGTCGTCAGCACGCCCGAGAGATGAACGGGGGCCACCGGCGGCTGTTCCCGATCCGTCAGGGGTGTGTGGGCTGCAGGACTGCCAACCCCCCCCCCCCCCCCCCCACGTCAGCAACGGCCTCACGGATCGCCGCGGCGGCACGTTATGGACTTGGACAGACAACCCGTACCCACATCGCGGCCCCATCATGAACAACAACATCCGTTGAAGCCCAAGAGCCTTTGAGCATACCAACACCGTCGACCATGGTCTCCCGGATGGCGGCCCAGAGCCCACCAGCGCGGCCTCCCGAAACGTCCCTCCCACCCAGCATGACCGGCGCGACGCAGGCCCTCGTCGGCGTCCACGGGTGGTGGTGGTGGTGCCCCGAGGTCCCACCTCCCGGCCCGACGCACTGCGCTCGGACTGCCGCCGGGCTCGACTTCGGCGGCCTCGGGGATATCGCCTTCTCCGTCGTGCCCTGCTCCGTCGCCATCCTCTGGGCCCTGCACCGGTGCGCGCGGCGGTGGAAGCAGCCGGTGGTGGCGGCAGCGGTGGCCCAGGGGTCCATCCTCCCCGCGCGCTTCCTCATCGGCTGCGCCGTCCTGTCC